ATTATATGAAGGTTAAACCTATTTAAGCAAAGTTTACGTATTATCGTACACTGGTCCTCTGCCCTCTACTCCCTTCCTCCCGCCTGAAGACGTAGACAAAGCGAGTGTGTACGGGAATAGCCACATTTACAGTTTTGGATAATTTTGATCTTATCTCAATTGATCTACCAAATGGTTAATCCGTTTAAAAGCAGTTTTTACGCAGCTTTCTTAATCAGAAAGTGAGTTCTGAGGCAACGGTAGGATTAGCGCTCGCACAAATATAGTGAATGAGACTCGACTTAATAAATCATCACCAATGTTTACCCAAAATTCATTTTCCCCAGTAAAAGACACAAAAGAGCTCATTAATGTAGTCATTTTTTTAGAACTTTACATAAGTGATATCGATCTTACACACTGTTAGGACAAGTACGAAAAACCATACATGCACAAGGCTATTTGTAAAAGGCTGTTTGTTATATATGTTGTGCCTATGTAAATAACCAAATCTTTATAGCACTTTGGCGAGGAGAAATGGTTTTAAAATTCTTATAACTTAAAACCATTTCTCCTCGCGAAAGTACTGCCAATAAAGTTTCGTTTGAAAAAACTCCAAGTTCCGAGAACTTTCAGATGAAACACTAAAATAGTTAAAGTACTATGGCCGTTGTACAAAATCACCATTGGAGGGTAATTTCTGCATTTCTTGCTCCTAACACATTCTCCCCACCCCTTCCATCTGTCTCCCCCTTTCTACTTCTTACTTATCCTGTAGGGAGATCCTCATCCTCTTTCTAATCCTCACTTGTCCTGTTGGAAGGGTGACAATCTTCAGCTGAACATAACTTGGCTGCTGGACAATTTTCCTCCTATCTTCCTCTATGGATATACGAAACAATCGCGCTCTTTCTCCCTTAGCCCAGTCGTGACTGTTACAACAATTGCTTGAGCCTGATAACAACAGAGAATAAATCCTGTTATCGTATTCCATGAAAAAAGATGCGAAAATTGTATTTTAGTGATCACAACTACACCGACGGTCACCATAACTCCATCACCCTCCAATCCAAATGGGTGCAATGAGAATTCTATCGTACCTTTCAATGTTTGTCAACTTTTCTCGTGTTTTCTAAAATTTTCATTGCTTTAGCCAAGATAGATAGGTTTAGATAACCAGTCCAAACTATCCCAAGGATTACCCTCCACTTACTCAGTGTCGTTACCAGCTGACGACTGATGCCAATCACAGGTAGGTCAGAAAGGAAGATCTTCTAAAAACATAGCATTTAAAACTAGATGAAATCTAGTCGGTTGCTTTTAGGGTGCAACTGACATTTGGAGCAATTGACACTGAGAAATGCTGCGATATCATAGACGTTTATGACTACGATGGTACTCCATACTATCCCTTATTGGATAGGTATGTGCAACGCTATGAAATGGAAAACAGATTTGAAGTAGGCCGAAAATTTGCATACGCTCAAATTACTTCTTTTTCAGGTTCAGCGGACAAATTCCGGATGGTAATAAGACATTTAAGTCAACCTTCAATAAGCTATTTGTAGATTTCTACTCGGATTCGCTAGAACAAAGAAGTGGATTCTC